CCATTCACTAACTTGTGAGTGCATTCAAGATGTGCTCTCGTTTGTTCTCATGCACCCTAGCACTTCTCCCTAGGTGCTTGCTGAATAAAATATAGATCTTTTAAAAGGAATTTGCTTCAAGAAACAGAAAGCAATGAAGTTGGACCTGGTGCAATGGCCTAGCAGCTGAAGTCCACACCTTGTACACACCAGGATCCCACATGGGCACTGGTTCATGTCCCAGCAGCCCTGCTTCCCATCCAGCTCCCTGCTTGTGGCCTGGGAAAGCAGTCAAGGACGGCCCAATTCCTTGGGACCCTGCACCCACGTGGAAGACCCAGAGGAGGCTCCTGGCTTCAAATGGGCTCCAGCTCCAGCCGTTGCAGTCACTTGGCGAGTGAACCATCAGATGGAAGATCTTCCTCTCTGTCTCCTCTCTGTATATCTGATTTTCCAGTAAAAAAACCAAAAACTTAAAAAAAAGATTTATTTATAAAAGCAAAGTCAAGAAAGTAGAAAATAGAGTAACTGTTAGTGAGACAGTAAACTAGTACAAACACTACAGAAAACAGGATAGGGACTTCTTTAAAAAATAGAAATAGAACTGACATAAGACCCAGCAACCCATTTACTGGTATATATCCCAAAGATAGGGCATTATCATATTGAAGAGACTCCTACTCCATATTTACTGCAGCGTTATTCACAACAGCCAAGGTGTGGAGTCAACCAAAGCATTCATTATCAGATGAATGAGTAAATATGGAAGACACACATAGTGCACGGTTGTTCAGCCACAAAAAGAGTAAAACTACTTATTTGTACAAAAAAAATGAATGAACTAGAGGAAATACTCTAGATCCTTCCTAAATGCTCTACATGTAATATTTGAAGTATTTAAAAAAAATCTCAATGTCACTAAAGAACAGTAATTATGAGAGCCTGGGAGGGTAAGAAAGAGGAAGTTAATATAATGGATACGACATCAGAATCAGATTAAAGGAACAAGGTTCTAATGTTACACAAAATAGTGGAATCCCTACAGATCACAATAACCTCATAGGCATTTTAGAAGCAAATACAAGGGAAAGAGGATCATTATCATATTGAGCATAAGACCAAAGCAGCTGGCATTTGGGTTCTCCTGTTTTGATCACTACTCAGTGTAGATATGTATCAAAATGTCACACCAAAGCCTCTAAATAGGCACAATTATTAGCAAGACTTTTTAAAAATCTACAGTGGGTATCAACAAAAGAAATTTGGCTCACCACTCTATTTCATGAGACGAGGGTGTCAAGCCTGTAACTGATTGGCCTTTGTGAGACTGTGTGTGATGAGGGCTTTGGGGGCGCAGTTGGTGGCCCCCACTTCATTCACACAGCACACTGACTCCAAAACACACTGCTAGGACTCTTACAGAAAATACGGTAGATTTTGCAATTTTACCTGGTCGACTGATTTGCCCGTAGAAGGCAGCTAAAAGATGAGATGTAGCACGGACAGAGCGTGACATAGAGGGACAATTGCATCATTTTCAGTGTCACCGAGGACAATAAGGGAGAGTAAAGATGGAAAAGGAGAGAAGAGCTCTTACAGACCTCATTCTGAGCACACACACCTAGGCCCATCCACCCTCATTTACGGAACACATTTCCTCCCATTCGTGTGTGTGATTTCTTGGTTGGACAGAGCCTGCTCTAGCTGAACACATTTCTCATCAGAGCTCCAAACCGTTCATTCCTGAAAGGACTTGTATATGCTCTTAGCATAAATCTATTGAAGGATACTGGGCCCTCTGACAGGGACACTTGGACACCTTTTCGATGCAGACTGAAACTTCCTCAAACCTGGTTGAGGGACTCGATGTTCTCTGCTGTTTCTAGGGGAAGGACCGGCAATTTTTTCCTCAAAGACTGCGAATGTTCCAGGATTTGTGGACCAGATAATCATAAAGGCATATAAGGGAATCAGCGTGGCTGTGTCCCCATAAAACATTATGAGCAAAAACCAAAGCCCCGATTCTGCTCAGGATATCAACATTCTGAATGGACGTTAATCACCAACATTTCCTTTCCCTTCCAGGGTCCGTGTAATCCAACTTGAGTACCTTGAAATGAATTATTAAATGGAGAGTATCAGTAACTTGGGCTGCTGTGTGGGAAGACACCAACTGGAATACACGTAGACAGGAGCTGACAGTACACTCCCTAGCATCAAGCAGACTGGGGATGGCATTTATTCACGTGCATTTACCTGGAGTACAGTGCAGCATTATTGTTTGGGAACAGAGAAGAGTGATTGGTTGAACCCCTGTTTTGATTGGATTTCCCAACTGACTCAAATTTAAAACTTAAAATTACCATGAGCAGCCTAATATAACAACACCTAAATCTGTTTTTCCCAGTAAACTTATCCTTGCTGTTTAAATGCTTTTTCTATTTTAAGGAAGCTCTCTGGATGAGGACAGAGATGGAAAAATATGCAACGAGGTAGGACGAGAGGATACGCAGGGTTTCTACTGTGTAAAGAGATTCTTCTCAGCCTGGTCTTACTACTGCCAGATGACATCTCAGGATGTTTTTAATCCGAAAGATTGCGAATTCAAGGTGTGCTAAATTTTCTCCTGCTTTTATAGGAAGCTAACTGTCCATACATTGAGTACCTGTAGGTACAGCGCTTTCGCAGGGGCTTTGAAAGTCAATGTTTTGCTTTACAAGATGCACACAATCGCTTAAGGACTAGTTCTCCATGTCATGTCTGTGATGCAGGACAGCCAAGGATGGAGAATGTCCCATTGGAGGGGGAATCTCAGTCTGGGTATTTGGTTCAGAGCCAATGCCTGCACCACCACCGCTGTGGCAAAGGTATTCTGCAATGATTTAAGTTTGGCCAATCTGAGCAGCTTTAGCAGGCGCAGGGCAGTTTCTACCTTTTTCTATCTTTTTCATAATAATAACTGAATTTTTCCTTCTTGAAAACAAAAATTATCACAGGGATCAGCAGGTTAGCATTTATAGATATTTCAAAAGATTATACTCAATTTGAAATGTTGAACAGATTCACAACGGATTTTCAAGGTTTCATTTTATTTACATTTCCAAGTTCTTATCAGACATAGCAATGTTAAAGACGGATTATTTGAACTGCTAGTAGCTAGTAATCATGTCAAAGAGTGACATGTAACTAGTTCACCTCGGGTCCATATTTCGCAAGACTTGTGCGGAATGCAAAAGAAGCAATTATTGCACTGAATTTTCCACAAAATCCTCCAAGTAAATCTTGTTGCCTCTTCACAGCTGGGAATCTTGCCTTCAAGAAGATGGAGCAGACAAGAGACTTGCCATAGAAACCAGCTGTAAAAAGTTTTTGTGTGAGATCTGCTAACTTATGCTTTCATTGGCACTCTCTTCCACCTCATGTGTCCATTCTGTCATCATTGAACTCACAGGTGCCGTATCAGTCCCCAGGGATACAAGAGGACCAAATGCAGTCAAGTCCCTGCCCAAAGGAGCATCCATCCTAGTAGAGGGAGGCAGGCAAACACACAAAGAGAAGATAGCACGGGAATCCCGAATGCTTAGAGACATCCCTCTTACCATCTGTTGACTGAATGGTTACATTTGAGAGGCAGTGAAGGAGTGAGGAGAGAGGCAAACAGCAGACTTGAGCCGTTTTGCTAGTCCCGTTCCACCATCTCTACACTGCATGGATTTTTATGAATCCTTTATTCTACTGGAATCTCACGTCCCTTACCTATAAAAATGGGGGAAGATTGGATGCAATGACTTAACAAGGGACAAGATTCTGTTAGGCTTTTATTTTTCATGGTCTTATAGGAATATTTTGTAAAAAGTCACAATCCAATTTTTTGTTGACTCTTGCTAGCTTTAAAAAAATATACCTAAAATGCAAAAAATCTGTGGCTATCCCATACACACTCAATACTTCAAATGCCAATCTAAACTTTTTTCATAAAGAGCAAAGGTGCTATCCACAAGATGTTACAGAATGTTTTTATTCTACCATCTTCAGCCACACGAGTTTTGTTATTCATGAAAATATATTGCTTTCCATTAGTGTTTACAAAATTCTACTTCACTTGAGAAATGCTCTCTAGCGACAACATCCTAGACACATCCTGGAAGTGACACTTCCTCCTGTGCTAACCCACATCATGGACTTTGCGCCTGTTTTAGACTGAAAAATCAGCTCTGTGAAAACAGGGGCTGAGTGCTTGCTTCTCTGCAGAACAACCCAGATGCTATTCTGTCCAGTCATTCCATGGACCACTATGATGGTCTCTTTACATGCGTGGTACCTTTTGGGTTCAGGCTGGTTGGGAACCCATGTTGGCTCTTTAAGTTGGTGAATAGTTCTGTTTAGTACAATTACAACTTCATTCCACTGAGGGGTATTTACTCTAAGATCTGAAAAGCAAAAGTGGGTTTCCAGAAAAATGTACCAGGAAGGACTATATGAATTAATAACTATCCTAACTTGTTAGGAAGCTCTGTTGGAATGTTAACATATCTTTAGCAGCACAAGTAAAGCAGAACATATTTCATGGTTGACTCTTTTTTTCTTTACAAAGAAGATATATTGGGCCTGGTGGCATGGCCTAGCAACTAAAGTCCTCGCCTTGAACATGCTGGGATCCCATATGGATGCTGGTTCTAATCCCAGCAGCTCCACTTCCCATCCAGCTCCCTGCTTGTGGCCTGGGAAAGCAATAAAGGACGGCCGAAAGCCTTGGGACCCTGCACCCATGTGGGAGAACTGGAAGAAGTTTCTGGATCCTGGCTTCAGATCGGCGCAGTTCCAGCCACTGCACTCACTTGGGGAGTGACTCATTGGACGGAAGATCTTTCTGTCTCTCCTCCTTTCTGTATATCCGACTTTCCAATAAAAATAAAATAAGTCTTTAAAAAAACGAAGATGATATATTGAGACAGCTGAACATCAAAAAGGTTAGGCTTAGACGTATTAACTTGGTAGGAATTAACTCTTTGATTCTCTTGAAACACAAACTGTATTCACTAGGTTGATTGTGAAATCAAGAAACACAAATTTCAATCAATTCAGTGGCTAAGGCTGAGAGGAAATCTCAAGGACCACGTGGAGTTTTTGGTTATCTGGATCAGGTCCCATCGACACGCTGGGGGTTGCTGAAGGTTTAAACCCTGTGAGTTTTATCTGCTTTCTGTGTAATCAAATATCCTACACGTTTTCAAATGTTATCAGGTGGTCCCTATCACAAGACCACATCCTGTCAGTGTCTTTGGGAACAAAGTGAAATCATTGTTTTAACATTGGGATTTGACTCCTTCTTGTTGTTCTGTGCATGAAGATTTAGGGCTAGTGTTGTCAGAAGCACCTAACACAAGCTAATCTCACAATGAACTGTGAAGAGAAGGGGACCAGGACCTTGGAAGGGAGCATGCTACCACTTTAGGACCAGACGAGCAGGAGCATCCCATGTAACCTCCAAGCAACTTGCAGCAACCGAATGACTTCTACAGACAGACAGTATTCCAACAATAGCTATATGTAGAAGGAAATGAAGGCACATCCAGCAGAGAGTGGTTGCAGAAATGAAAGAGAACAGGAGATTGAGACAACTTTTGGTGACTTGGGTCACAGTTACAGATAAATTCTTGTTAGAACAGGAGATATGAGTTTTGGTCTATGCCCTGCAATTTGGTAGTGTGTTTTGAGGTGCTGGGTACATGTCACCAACAAGAACGCAGCCCTTTTCACAGGTAAGAGGAATGATGAAGCCACGCTGACATTCACTGTCCTCCCCTCAGTACGACGGTAACCTTTCCCAGCCGTTCCAGTGGGTCCATGGGTGGCGTACAGGAGTGTATCGGGCATAGCTTCGGCTGTGAGGTCCACATGAAGGTACTGTCCACAGTGTGATTTTCAGGGTGAAGCTGTTAAGCTGCAAACGGGTACTATTTTTAAGTCCAAACCTCCATAGGCACAATGGCTTCTTTGGTTCCAACAGAAGGCAACAAACTTTCTTCAGACAGGAAATAAAAGGGGAATTGCACCAGGAAGCCACGGATCTTTTTCAGTTCTTCTTCAGCTCTAATGGGGTCTTCTTTTGCTAATATAGGCTTGGTTATGAAGTCTCTCAGCTGAATTAAGTTGTGTACTTCGTCATTGGGGAGGCACCGGAACACCTGGTTAAAACAAATATAGGATGAAATGATCAGTTTAAAAAAAAGCATGTGTGCTTTATGGGAAATAGTCCAACAGGCAAAATCGTTATTTAATTAAATACCTTAGTTCTCCATCAAAACCCAGATTTAAGAGTTGCTCCTTAATTTGCTACAGAAATTTGCTAGATTGTCCTCTATTGAAAAATTACAGCTCCTCAGCACTGGCTACTTGTGGAACTACAATTTCAGCTGCTTGATCACCATATCACCATGTCTGACAAACCCAATATTACTGAGGTTGAAAAATTCGATCATCTGAGACAAAGAAGGGAGATGCAAGATGGCTGGATAGGGAAGAGACATGCTGGTTTTGACCACAGGAAAATAACAAGAAAAAAGGAGGAATTGCATTCCCAGGGGACAGTTGGGACACTAAGTCCTTGAGACATAGTTCAAACAGAAAAAGCCCTCAGAGAAAACCAACCAGTGTTTCCACACATGCCCAGACATAAAGATAGAAAGATGAACATGGGTAACAATATGACTCCCCCAAAGCAGTGCGCACGCTAACATTAGAGTGTGAAGAGACTGAGGAAATGTCTGAAAAGAAGTTCAAAAGAATGAAAAAATTCTTCAAAATTACAGAGAAGCAAATACATGAGTTAAGGACATCCAAACATGACACAGATGAGAAATTCTGCTGGGAGACAGTAATATAGGAACCAGACCAAACTGAACTAATAGAAATGAAGACTTTGATATGTCAAACAAAAATATAGTGGTAAGTCTTAAGAACAGACTCAGGTAGGCAGAAGGAATACCTGAGCTAGAAGACAAATCATTGGGTGTATCTCAGTCAGACAGAAAAAAAAAATAGAACCAAAAATAAGATGAGATTTATAGTATAGTATAAAATGACCAAATATACGTACCTTAGGCATTCCCAAATGTATCAACAGAGAGAATGGATTAAAAGATCTATTCAATGAGATATCAGAAAACTTTCCTCATCTGGAGAAAGACAGGGACAGCCAAGTACAGGAAGCACACAGAACTCCTAGTAGGCGTGACCATAATGATCTTCATGATATGGTCAGCTAAACTTTCAGATGTAAAATATAAAGAAAATACACTAAAACAAGCACCACAGAAACACCAGATTCTCCTCACAGGAGTTCTAGTTAGATTGACTGCTGATTTCTCATCATAGGTGAGAATGGAGAAACATGATCCAACTCCTGAAAGAATACTATACCCTACAGAGCCCTGATTCACAAATGAAGGGGAAGTAATGACATTCCAAACCAAACAGAAATTGAAATTGTCACCACTCAGCCAGCCTTAAGGGATATGCTGCATGGAGAAACAGACATAGCATCATGAAAGAACGTGATGGTAGGTAAAATGTCCCACAAAGGAAGTGCAAAGCAAAACAACAGGGATGTTTATGGGGAAAAAGTGAGGGGGCAGGACCAAGTAACTGCTCATCAATAACCCTGAATGTAAATGCCCTAAATTCTCCAATGAAAAGTTATAAATGGACTGGATTAAAAACCAAGGCCCATATATTTGATGCCCAGAAAAAACACACTTCACTAACACAGAGACTGAAATTAAAAGAATGAAAAGATATTCCATATTAACAGAAACAAAAATAAACAAATTAATTAATAAATAAATAAAGCAGGAATAGCCATCATAAAATCAGATAAAATAAACTTTAACACACAAACTGGTAAAAGAGACAAAGGACAGTCTGTAATGTTTAAGGGATCAATTCAACAGAAATACATGATTAGAGTAAAGGTTTATGCACCCAATACAAGGGTGCCTGGCTATTTAAAACAATCAATAATGGATCTAAATGAGACATAGGGCTCAATACAATGATCATGAAAGACTTCAACACCCCACTTCTATCAATGCATGGATCAACCAGACAAAAAAATCAACAACAAAACAAAGCTAATCCATACTCTTGACCAAATGGACCTAATTAACCTTTACAGAACATTTTATTCCACAGTTACTGAATAGACATTCTTTCAACAATGCATGGAGTGAATATTATTTAAGCCAGATCATATGCTAGGCCAAGTCTCAATTATAAAAATGTCATGTATCTTTTCTGACAACAATGAAATGAAGCTGGAAATGAACAACTTGAAATATTTTGGAAAATACAGACATATACAGACCGAACAACATACTCAAGAATGAGGAGTCGGTCATAGAAGAAATCAAGAAGGAAATAAAATTCCTAGAAATGAAGATGACAACACAACACATGAAATTTACAGGATACTTCAAAAGCAATTTAAGAGGAAAGTTTATAGCCATTAATGCCTACACCAATAAATGAATGATCTAACAATGCATCTTAAGGATCTAAAGAAAGAACAAACCAAACCCCAAATTAGTAGGAAGAAGAAAATAATAAAAATTAGAGAAGATGTAAATGAAACTAAAACCCTGAAAATCAACATTAGAAAAGATGAATGAAACAAATAGATGGTTTTGGAAAAAATAACTAAACTAATATACCACTGGCCCAACTAACCAAAAGGAGACAGAGACAACCCAAATTAATAAAATCAGAGATGAAAAAGGAGATATTACAATGTGCTATGTCATAGCGTAAGCCTATGCTGATGAATGCTACCAAACTTAAAAGAATTAATTCCAATTCTTCTCAAACTCTTAAAAAAATTGAAAGGGAGGGACTCCTCCCAAACTTCTTGTATGAAGCCTACTTCACCTTAATCTGGGGGATTAAGGTGATGCATAAAAAGGCACCACAAAGACTACTATAGACCAATGTTGCTGATGAACAAAGATCAAAAATAACCATCAAAAAAATAATAATTAATCAAATCCAGCAATACCTCAAAAAGATTATTTGCCTGGACCAAGGGAATTTATCCCTAGTGTACAGGGATGGTCCCGTACAGGCAAATCAATCAATGTGATACATTACATTAACAAACTGAATAAAAAAACCATGTGAATATTTCAATAGGTACAGAAAGGCATTTGATAAAATATAACATATTTTCATGATCAAAAAACTTAAGTAAGTTCAGCGTAGAATATATATAGAAGATACATATACAGTGAAGACACAACACAGACAAGGGAATCCATCACACACAGGCAGCTTCATATTAAAGCCTTCCCACTAAGAGCTGGAGCCATACAAGCATGCCTTCTTTTACCACTGCTGTTCAATATCATTCTGGAAGTTTGAGCCAGAGTCACTGGACAAGATAAAGAAATCAAAAGAATACAAATGGCAAAGCAAGAAATCAAACTATCCCTGATTGTAGATTACATGATCCTATACAGAGAAGAATGACATAACATTCCACATAAGAGAGTTTGGCAAAGTTCCAGGATATAAAATCAATGCACAGCCTTTGTATGCACCAACAATGCAAGGCTGACAGACTTGTAACATCAGTCCCACCCCTGATACCTACCAAAAATTTAAATGCCTTGGGATAAATTTAACCAAGAACTGAAAGATCCCTGTAATGAATCTTAGAAAACATTTACCAAAAAACAGAAGTTTACACAAAAAGTGGGAAAAATCTTTCACATTCACGAATTGGAAGAATATCATAATACTGACAACACTTGATGGGATTACATTGAGCTAAGCAGCTTCTGCACAGCAAAGAAAACATCCAACAAAGTAAAGAGGCAACTGACAGATTGGGATACAATAATTGCAAATAATGCACCTTTTAAAGGATATAAAAGGAGCTCCAAAATCCCAAACAGCGAAACAAGCCATCCAATTAAGAAATAGCCTAGCAATATGAACAGGTGTTTCTCAAAGGATGAAATATAAATGGCCAACACACATGAAAAAATGCTCGGGATCACTAATCTTTAGAACAATTCAGATAACGAAACTTCACTTTACTCCATTTAGAATGGCTGTCAATCAAAAAGAAAAAAATCAACTGCTGGTTAGGATGGATGTTAAAAAGGCATGTAAACTAATATATCCATTCTAGAAGACAGTATGGAGATTCCTCAGAAATCTGAAAAATACCTTTATCTTATGACCAGTCATTCCACTATTTACCCAAAGGAAATGAATCAGCATATGAAAGAGTTCTCTGTATGCCATGTTTAGAGCAGCTCAACTCACAATTAGTTATAATATGGAGTCGACCCAGGCATTTATCAATTGATGACTGAAGAAAGAAACTGTGGTATAGTTACACTATGAAATGCTACTCTACCAAAAAAAGGATGAAACCCTGTCTTTTTGCAAAACAACAACAAAAAAACACTGTGCTTGATGAAAAGCCAGCACCCCAAATACAAATCTCGTATGTTTCCCCTCATTTGTGGTAACTGGCTTATAGAGCACAGGAAAATACAATGCTTATGAGCAAAACTGACCTTGTGAGATTTCTTATTTGTAGTCCTTGCCTATGCTCTTTAGAAACCATGGATTTGCTACTTGCTGAATTTTTATTTTGTTGAGAGTTAAGCTCATGATTTTTAAGAGATATAAACATTTCTTAAAATTGAAATATACTGAAAATTGGAAACATGTTGCTTAAAATCGATATCTATGTCATTGAAAAAATTAAAAGAAAAGAAGGAAGAGGAAGGGTAAAAGTGAGTGAAGGCAGACCCCAGGTGTAGGCCATGGCCAAGGGTGCTTTGCCCTAGGCAAGTGTGAGATTGCTGTGAGAAAAGCAGCCAATAATTGGCAGGCATTCTGGGCCCGCTGGACCGTGGTACTCCTTGCACGAGCAAGATCCAGAGCGAGGACTGCACTGGTGGGAGAAATGCAAGCACTCCCCTGCTAGGCTGCAGCTTCTGCTGCTGAGCATTGGGGCCAGGATGTGGGTGGGCCAGGCTGACCAAGGCAGCAACACCAGTCAGCATATGCGTGGGCTAGGTCTGGGAATGGGTTGAACTAAGCTAAGCTACAGCACTCATAGGTGTGCACAAGAGCCAGATGAGATGTGTAATGGACTTGGTTTGCTTGCAGCACATACAAAAATCAGGGCTGGGGGTGAGCCTGTTGGGAGGTATTGGGGGGTCAACCCAACTATGCCATGGTACCAATTGGTGTGTGTGAAGACTGGGCCTGGGGCAGGTTGGGCTAGGCCACAGAACCAACCTGTTCATGTGAGAGGTTGGTCTGTGAGTGGAACTAAGAAGCTATATCCACCAGTATGTTCACTGTCTGGTATAAGTAACAGATTGAACCGGCACTAGCTGGGAGTCAAGTCTGAGATCACCCCAGGAAGTTTTTTTTTGCGGGGAACTCCTCAATTGGGTTACCAGACTCAAATCCCAGCCACAGGGAAAGTCACAGTATATGTGCTCTGGCCTTAGAGTGTATATACTGTATATATTGTTACTAGGTCTCTTTAGTTGTTGACGTCTACATAATGGAAAGCATGCCCAAATGCACATGGAGGACCTGACAGCCAGTTCATCTAAGCTGGAAGAGGATGTCAAGTGCCTAGTCAGAGGATGGACAGCAGAACGGGTTGGACAACTCTCCTGGCCAAGCTTTGCAGCAAGTGCCTGGATCTACAGATGCACACTGAGGTGGACTTGGTCAGCTAATAGACCACGGAAAGATCAAGTTTAAATTACCATGCTGCCCGTTTACATCTAAGAGTGGAGAACTGACCATGAAGGGTCTGCCTGCCTTCCCCATCTCCCTTGTGTCTGGCAGGAAAGCGGAAGACAGTAATGCTGGTAAAGGAAAATGCTGGGTGGGATGACAACAAAATCTAGAGGAAAAGCAAGCCAGCGCAAGGTGTCCTGCAGGCTGAACAAAGCATTTTATTCAGTGTTATTTTTGTTCAAACGATTTTGATGTTTAGAATGCACAAGTTTTAATATACAGATAGAGTTTTGAAATCTGGAAAAAAAAGATCACTAGATTTTCAAATTTGGATGTCCAAGGACCATGAAGCCCAGGATAAAGTAATTTCACCCATTACTCAAGAATAGGCTTGCCACTTTGGCTAATAATCATTTGTGAACTTCAGGAAAACTGCATGTTACGTTTTCTCTTATTGTTTAGAAAGATGCTCATATTCCTACCTTTATTTAGAGTTACTGAGTGCTAATATATAATCTTTATTTGACTATTTGAACATGACTTTCAGATATTATAACACTTCATTCCAGAATATTTCATCATATATCATGCAAGGACATTTGCCTATGAAATAACACCACCATTCTCAAACTTAAGAAAATTAACTCCACGCATTATTCAGGATATCACCCACATTTAATTTATCCTATTACCTCAAAAATGCCCTTCATAGCCAAACTGTGCTGTGCATTTCTAAAATCTCATTTTAAGACAGCCCATGTATGTGACCTATTTGATCGGGATCTTGAGTCCTCAATGTGAAATGAGGACTTGCGATGTTTCATTAACAAAGGCAAAGTCGCCATGCTTGAAGGGACCCTGGATGTCACACGGAGAACACTCTTTGGCCCAGTTTCTTTTAGAGCATCCACAAACCCTAGCTGGAATATCTTCCACAGTGAGAAGCTGGCTTCACCATCCTCAGATATGCAGCTCTTGAGTTTTGTCCATTTGTTATCATAGGTGATGGCTATAATCCATCTGAAATTACATTTGCTATGTACCAAAAGGAGCTGTTTTGAAAGACTTGTCTAAAATTAGAAATGTCCAAAACAGGAAATGGCTCATTCTTAGAAACATAATTTAAAAGATGGAAACTATTTACTATGGACTATGAGCATGAAGGTAGATATTATTAATTCTCATAACCATGCTAGGAGCCATCTCTTTCAATGTTTAGGGAGAAAAGGAGGACAGAGAAATTGATGCACTGTATGCACAGCTGTATCACATGCAAGCAGATGTGTGGGAGCGGATGCAGGTCTGAGTCACTGATTGATTCCATTTGCCTTTCTTCTGTTTGTCACTAACACGTTCGGAAGCTGGGTAACCCTTAGTGGGGGACTGATGGGATGAGATTCCTGCATCACACGAGAGGTAAAAACACCACTGTTCCCCTTAACTGTCACACATCATGTTTTTTGACTCCTGGCTGTCCAATACCTGCAGAGAGCCCATCTTTATTATCTCGAGGTGTATTGGTTTCTTGATATTCATGAAGAATTTTCTGTATCCACCAAAGGCAGAAATAATGATGTGCATTTTCTGATGAAATTTAGCTTAAAAGGGGGAGGTGAAATATGAACCTCACCTTATCATAAATTGTAGCATTCCGTGCTGCTGTTGAGACCCACACTTCCTTGAAGAATCTGTCACTCACTGGATCCTGGATGTCCTCTGAGGGATCAGAGAGATAGCCCAGTACAAGCCTGAAACACAAGTGCCACGAGTTGAGTGGTGCACACAAAGAGGTTTGCAGAGTCCACCTTGTTTCTTGCTGGTAACCATAATTCAGCCAGCCTCAGATGTCTTTTTTAAGGAAATCAAGGGGAGCCAAGAAAACTAAGTAAAATGCATAATACATAATGTGTATCTGAAGTGATAAAATGAAAGAAAATAAAACCAAACCTAAGTGGCTTTGATAATTGCATGGTTTTAATAACTGTTGGACAGAAAGACCAATTTTGTTCTAAGAGTACCCTTGTAATTGGTGTGGAGCATAGAATTACACTCAAAACAAGTACCCAGAAATATGTTCAGTCTTTCCAAGGATTATCTCACTAAAGCCTCAATCACATCATGAAAAAAAATACAACAGCAGCAACAAAAAGCCCCACAAAACCCTCCTACTGTTGTTATTTTACAGATAAAGGAACAAAGAGATAGAATAAGGTGTTCTAGGTCCTGTGAGGTAAGTAATGCAGCTCAGACCCCAACTGGGGCCAACTGACTCCCAAGTCGGGCCTGCTTGCATGCCTTCCTCCCTCCTTCCTTCCCTCATGCTCACCTGCCTTCCTTCCCCGTGCTCTTCTGTCTCTTGGGCCAAGTACTGTGCTGAATTCTACAGAACAGACCTGAGTAAGGAAGGCAGGTGACCTCTGAGGGTAGAGTTATATTTGGTGGGTGAGTCCAAAAATGAAGACATAACCCCGTTTAGAAGGTTTTCATAACAATTTTGATACATGCACGCTATGCTCTAAGAGCATGGGATGGGTGTGGTCAGGGACATTTTTTGTCCTTCCATCAACCACTCATCTGAACCTACTTCCTGCCTTAGGGTTCGGCACAAGATAAGTTCCCTAAGACTTTTACTGGCTCCCCTGTTCCCATCTCCCACTGCTCCCTTGGAGATCTGAGCATTCTTTCTTGGTTCACCTTCTATACTTTGCATATATACTGCCTTTGCCAGAGCTTCTACAATATTTTGTGTGTAACACACCTAGTTCCCATTTGTACAATGCAGATTCTTGGGGAGACCAGGGCTGGGTTGCTCTTATACCCCCCAGAATACCTGATGTACAGGAAGCCACAAATAAGACGCTACCTGAATTGACTTTACATAAACAAAGAATCAAAAGGAACTAGAAATTCTCGAGCAGAGAAAGACACGCCCTGAGCTGAGCTGGTTCTGTGGGAGGTGAACAGGAATTCAATGTTGAACTTGGGGAGACATCTGGTAAATATCTAAGTGGCAGAGCTGAGCAGGCCACTGGATAAACAGGCTAGGGTTTAGCGGAGAAGGCTTGACGGGTAATATAAACTGAAGAATCACACGTAAGCTCATGAACCTGTGTGCTTCTCCCCTAAGTTCACCAAAGGAGTGAGCTGCCACAAACAGGACTTGGTCCATCCCAGTAGTGATGGAGAGGAGGTACAACTGGCAAGGCTGGAGGGAAGCCAGAGGATGTGGGGTCCTGAAACCCCAGCAGGAAGCAAGTAGCGGAGATCTGTGTCAAACCCAGGCGAGGACTGATCACGGGGAGGTTATTAGAATGTGGCCCTTTCTGTGTTCAGACAAATGGAGATTTACATAATCATTTTAATGAGTTTGGCGCTTTCAGTGAATGTGGATTTTTCTAAGCAGTTCTCTTACTATGAATTTCTGGGTAGTTTCCAATGTTTCATTATTACGAATAATGCTCCAGTGAACATAATTTATTCATCACATATAACTTTCGTGGATTTCTGTAGTAATTAGAAGAAGTTCTAGAATAAAATTCCTAGGCCAAAGAATACACATGATTGCCCCAAGAAAGGTTGTGCCACACCCACTGTTAATCATGAATGTTCTTGTCACTCATTTCTAACATCAACTTCTGAAAATGTCCCATTTTTTTTTTTTCAGGACAAATGGGGAGTTCATTTCCATTTTAGTTTGTCTTTTACTGGTTTTAGGAAAGTTCTGCTCCTAAATAGATCTGACACCATGACTTCCTGGGATTCTTCAGTTTTAGGACCTCAAAAATCCTCTTCTACTTCAACGCTTCCTTCAGACAACATGGTCATAATTTGAAGGAAAAAAATCACACACTAAGAGATGATGTTTCCATGCAGATGTTGAAAGCAAATTGCAACCCAAAGCCATACTGTCCCTAATATGAAAAAGGTCATTCATTTTGCGACAGTTTAAAGGGATACTCTTCATTTGGGCCTGGACTTGGGAACTAAAAATAAACATAGAGTATTTCTGTGACTCTGTTTTAAAATCAGAACAGAGAGAGGAACATTCAGTCTGGGGGTCAGATGCTGCTGAGGAGGCCTGCATCCCACGGAGGCCTGCATCCCACGGGGGAGTCCCAGCCCTGGCTCCTGATCCCAGTCTTCTGCTGACACATACCCCAGAGGCAGCACTGATGACTCAAACAACCGAGCTTTGGCCATGCATATGGGAGACCAGGAATGAGTCGCCATGACTGACCCAGCGGATGAAACACTCTCTTTCTGTCTATGTCACTCTGTCTCTTAAATAACAATTTTAAATAGTTAGAACAAGAGATGGAACTATGTGTCCACCAAGTTATCCACTAATGTCTTTTCAACAGAAGCATTTAAATAAGCTTACAACATGCCACGTTTAGCAATATGTCATTTTGCCTAATGATATTTTCAGTATAACACACTTATTCCTAAAATTGTACAGTAACACAATAGTCAGTACTCTATTATTTTGAGGGCTTAAGAGGGAAATGGTTTGGTTTTATTTGGATGTGTATAATGGCCATTATTTAATTGTTTATGTATCACAGTGGGAAGGCAGTGAAATTGTCAAACAGATGCTCCCGTATCCTTCTGTTCCTTACATCTACTACTTTCAATGATTCTGAAATCAACATGCATGGAAAACAGCTTCTGTTGAGGGCGGTTCTATTTGTGAAGTTTGGATAATTTTCTAGGACTTAATGAACTGCTCAGCTCAGCGCTGTGACACTCAGCACGGTACCCTGATGGCTGATCCCGTGTCTTTTCAGAATTGATTTCACATTGAAAGGTGTGTTTCCATTTCTATTCAAAGACGGCCCAGATGGAAAATGGATTGAAGCTGCATTTTTAAGTGAGAAAATGGCTGCTCTCCGGGCCACAATATTTGTCTTTGGAACATTTCCTAATAAAAAGAGGCTAAAATTGACACATGGTTTTTGTGGTGCTTTTTAATATATCATCTGTGTTTGCCATCGGGGCAGAATGAAAATAACTGTTCAAGAACAAATGTCTCTCTGAGACAGTTTGAAACTTGCCAGGAAAATAAAATACTTGAAATAAACTTGACGTGAAATGTACAGGATCAGCATAAAAAGAAAGTGATTTACTGAAAATAGCCCTCTCCCAGTAATGATTTACGATACAACAACAACAACAACAACAACAAAAACCTTAAATAAATTGAAGGCACACTGTGTGTGTTTTTCAACTGAAAGACTCGATTCTTTTTATATCAATCTATTCATCTGCTGTAATCCCAATTTCATAAACAAAAAAGGATGTAAGGGAACTTGGATAAATAAATCTAAAGTTTATATGGAAGTTGAATTGTGAAGACCAGACAAAACTACCCTGGAAAATCATATGGATTTGGGGAAGTGGCATCCCGAAAGCAGAGTGAGAATGCACAGCCACAAGAAAAGTGATACATGCTAGCAAGCAAATAATCAAACCTTCCATGTCACACAACAGAGCCCTAGAGAAGATACAGGGCAGTGTGGTTAGCACGAGGGTGCTCCACATTTCACAGAGTCCAGGCACCACAGCATGCCCCACAGTTCTGAATTGGTGAATTACTTGGAGGCAAAAGTTAGAGCTCCCTGAGGCTGGTGCCGTGGTATAGTATGTTAAGCCTCTGCCTGCAGTGCCAGCATCCCATATGGATGCTGGTTCAAATCCTGGCTAATTCACTTCTGATACAGTTCCCTGCTAATGTACCTGGAAAAGCAACAGAAGATGGCCCAAGTCACTGATCCCTGCATTCACATAGGAGACCTGGAAGAAACTCCAGCTTCTTGGCTTAGGCAGGCCCAGCTCTAGTTGTTGCAACAATTTGGCTGGGGAGGGTGAACTAGTGGATGGAATATCACTCACTGTGTCTCTCCTTTTGTCTGTAGATCTTCCTTTCAAATAAATCTTTAAAAAGGAAAAGGAGCCTTTATTTCTTACCTAGCAAGAAACTTCAGGTATTAAATGCAAAAAAACAAAAAGCAAATAAATAGTAGGAGATACAAATAAATATTTGATAGTGACTGAGGAAGCTATGCTAAGCCTATGGGAAAGGGGGACAAAATGAAAATACTTTGAAAGATTTGACAAACAGAAATGTAAGGATTTTCATGTGGGCAGCACTGTGGTGCAGTGGATCAAGCTGCGACCTGTGGTGCCAGCTTCCCCATGTGAGTGACTGCTATGCTGTGGCTGCTCCACCTCTCATGCAGAACCCTGCTCATGTGCCTGGGAAAGCCGTGCAAGATGGCCCAAGTTTTGTAGGCCCCTGCACCAGCAATGAGAGATCAGGATGGATTTTGTAGTCCAGTCTCAGCCATTGCTGCCATTTAGGGAGTGAACCAACAAATGGAAGATCTTTCTCTTTCTTTCCTTCTCTTTTTCTCTCCCTTCTACCTTCCTGCCCTTTAATATTGACTTTCAAGCAAATCATTTTAAAATAATTCAAAAATTCTCCTTTATGCTCCATGATGAAAAGGCAATTGACCAGCCGGATTTGCAACACATGTGACAAAGAACACGGCATCCTATGTATTCATAATCAAATGAGAAGAAAATGAGGCCTCCCAACATAATGAGCTAAGGAAGTGAACAAGTGAGTCAATTTACAAAAGAACTATTACACATGACAAGTATATTTAAAATTTCCTGAAAATGAAAATAATGGAATTCCCATTTGAAACCTAGCAAGTTGGTGAAGGTTAACTAAAATGATGCAAGTCAGTAAAGACGGAAGGCATGAGGCCTCTAAAGCATAGCAGGTGATGTAACAAGTTAGAAAGCCAAAGTCTTCCTGAGTCTCGGGCAACAAGAAGGTGACTTACAGACACAAATGCTGCTTTAGATCAGCCACAGATCTGCTCAATAACAAGATGTTAAAGGAACGAGGGTAGACACAGGTAAGCCCTCCCAACAGCTATAGAAAATGCACATTCTTTTAATTACATTGTCTACGAACATTCTGAAATGTCCTCAGTGAAATATGACTCAGCCATTTAAATGTTACTGAATACTTTCTAACAGAAAAATGCATAAGACATTACTTAAATAGATATTACAGGACCTGAAATATTCTTATTTTTAAGAATATCAAGCATGCAAGTGTATAGAAACAAACAGAATAATTGAATCACAAATTTGAAATGCTGAAATTATTAGCACTGGGTGGTGGTGTAGATCAATCTAATTACAATGAAAATATGCTGTATATTAGAATGCTTTATAAGTGATCAGACATTTAAAAATTTATCAAGCAGCCCACCACTTTAAAAAGAGTAGTTTTCACAGAAGCAAAAAGACCTGACATATATCCTCACTTTACGAAAGGAAATATTTGTTTTTGTGCACAGGCTGCAGTAGGCCACCTGTAAGTGGATCAGCAAGCTACTAACTTTGAATTCTCTACTGCGGAACAAAACACATTCCTGTTAGTCGTGCAGCTGTAATAAATACAGCAGGGGAAGCTGCAGGGAATCCTGACGGCTTGGTGAGGGCTGGGCTTGCTGGGCTTCTTGGGAAGGGCAGCAGCATGGAGAGCACCTCTGGAATCCCAAAGCTCTGTTGGTCTGGGAGGACACGGTGTGGAGCGGGAGCACCAACAGGGGCAAAGAGCTCCATCTGGGCCTGTCGGCCGGTGAGGATTGACTGAGCAGTGCTACAGCGCAGTGCCCTGCCACAAACGCATGGGGCTCCAGGAAGTTGCAGAAAGTGGTAAGTTGGTCATGGTGGGGAAAAAAACAAAATTGAAAGCCATCCAAGTAAGTGAAAAGACCTGATATATATCCTCACTTTACGAAAGGTTTTCAAAAAGACTACACAAAATGAGCATTATGCAAAAACTATGCATGGATATCATGTTTTTTGTTGCAACAAAATGTTTTGGGGGGTTTCATTTTCCATGAGCTTTCTGAAGTCCTCTTGTAACATCAGGCACCATCTTTAGCCATGTCAGTGACTCTTTCTGCATCTCACCCTGAAATCACAGCATAACCAAAACAGTTCTAGAAGAGTCAGCCTGTAGATTCCCTGCAAAGATCATGAGACGGGAGACGGGTCAGGGCATTCCACAGACAGCAGTTAGGCAGTGTCTCCATTACGTGAGAGGAACAGTGCCTGCTGAGTGGCCTGTGTTAGGAACAAGCATTTGACACATTGCTCATTTGTGCTGGAAGAAGCCATTGGACTATAGGGCAAAGAGAACTGTGACATGGTCTGGAAGGTGCTAGAAGGATCACCTACTGAGAAAGACAGACTACAGTTGCTGGGGGCAGTTACAGCTCAACCTGGCAGGATCCTCAGTAATGGCTCATTGGAATGAGGGCCTCATGAGGACCACGTAATTCTTGCTTTCTAGCCCAGCTAGTCTTCTGGTCAACAACTTGTTTAAAATTCCTATCTTCTTGCTGAAGACAAAGCATCTTCCATTTTGAGACTCATCCCACACCTGAGAACTAATGTTCCCACACCTGAGTGAGACACGAATCATCACTGGCAAACTCCTTTGCTAAGTTTTCACACCTTTATATTCCAACATTTATATCTGTATGTATAGACATATTTTAATGCAGTTATCTATGGAGGAGTCAGAGCTTTATATAGAGAGAAACATGGAGGGAGAGAAAGAGATCTTTCAGCTCTGGTTCACTTCCTACATAGCTGCCAAGTCAGAAGCCAGGAGCTTCTGGGTCTCCCATGTAGGTGCAAGGGAAAGTCTTGGGCCATCTTCTGCTGCCTTCCCAGGCCACAGCAGTGAGATGAACAGAAAGTGGAGCATCTGGAACTCCGTGGAGCCCGTGTGCGATGCTGGCACTGCAGATGGTTGCTTAATCTTCGGTGCCACAACACTGGCCCCAACTTAGTATATTTTAATTATTGCTTTCCAAATTATACATTTAAATAGTAAACGCTATGAAAATAAAACTGGGCATTTTGCACATTAGTGGTGTATTCACCTTCCCTAGTAAGAGACACCATTTCAAGAAGAATGTTGAATGCAGGCATGTGCTAACGGCAGGAGCCTGTGTCCAAAATTCCGCTTGGCAGAGCAGGCCTACCTGAAGCACTGTAGCCGAAGGCCAAGTGCAAAGCAGCCGGCCTGGTAGTCTTCCCCATCCATGACAGAAGGCATCGTCTCGGTGTCCTGGACAATGATAGCCATTTCACTGTCCCGCTTACCCAGCATGCTTCGGTCATTTATGTTGGCTGAGCCTGTAAGGACAGGAGAGAAGCAACTTGCTTGGGGGTGTCCACACTGCTGACTTCCTGCTCACTGGATTCTGCTGTGCTATGAATAACCCTGCTTTTCTTCAGGTTACTAAGATGTGTTTTAGGGAGGCAGGGGCTTCCCTCATTCGGGGGGAATTATGGGCAGGATGAAACTACCATGGCAACTGCATTATTTTTGCTGGTGATTGGCTCAGAAGGACACTTGGCGTTTTAGCCAATGTGACATGAAGTGAAGCCTCCTAGGCACTTACAAGGAAGTTTTTCTCTTTTTTGTAGGAACACAAGAAATGGAACTGTCTCAGCATTTGGATATATGGACTTGTGGGATAAAGGCATGATTAAGCGCCACACTGCAACTATGAGGGCACAGGCAGAAAAGCCAGGGACAGCAGAGCAGAAACAAGAGAGCCTGGGTCTGAAGTCACCGAACTGGGCAGCCCTAAGATGTCTCACTTTCTGCTAAAGGAGGCAAAATACTTTCTTTATTGTTTCACCTACTTCTAGTTGAGTTTACCACCTTATCGCTCAAAGGATTCTCATGTAACCAGCAAGCACTTAATCAGGCTCTCTGGACTTTAACTCAAACAAGTGTCCCAATCAACTTTTACAACGGTCTCATCTCAGGAGAGCCCATCACGGCATTTGGGATATGCCCTTGCTATCTGGGTCAAGGCATGCCACCAGTATCTGTGGCAACCTCCCCTCAGCCCGCCTGTAAATCCTGAGAACACGGATTTGCACTTGGAAGGGGCCAACATCTTAACCTTGGGTTCAACGGGAGCTTTAGTGCGGTTCTCAGCTGATGATTTAGAAAAGTGCTCAGGTTTTCTGTCTCCATCATGGTGGATTCACGCTTTTCAATCCTCGAGATCTCCTACACACTGCCGAAGTGGCCAGGCAAGCAGCCACGCACGAGCCCATCCAGCAGGCAGGATTTGGTGTCGCAGAAGCTGCCCTCTCCTAACACAGGCACGCCAACCTCCAGTGTCTGTGAACATGGAGCACTGGCTGACGGAGAAAGGAGCACTCCACAGAAAGCTGGGGAGCACCACTGGAGTGGCAGAAGGTGGAAACTTGTGAACCACTTCAGTTTGTAAGCAACAAACCATCCTTTAGAACACATACATTTTCATGAAGCTATAGAATCTGCAGCCGTATCTTTCGACGTCACCGTTGGCCCAGTACTCATTTGGACAAGTCATTTAATGGTCTCAGCTTTAATTTGATCGTTTTTAAATCAGAATAAGAAAGGCACTTGGGGGTGAGAGGGAACTGTGCCTTAAGTAACACCATGTGCAAGCACTTAATGCTGTACACACTTCTCTACAAATGTTTATTATGATTGGCATTAGCAACAAATACTTCTGCATTCCAGAGTGTCTGGACCAGAAAGCACTTGTGGTAGGAAAAGACAATTTGCTGAAATACATCATTTGCATCAAAGAAATCTTTCTGGCTTAATTTCCTGGACACACGTGTGTAAGGACTCCAGGAATGAGTTTCCTCTGTGTTGCTTGGAGACTTCATTACTCCCCCACTCCTGCAGAGGGCGCTGTGGGGGTGGAGGGGCAAGGAGCTCTGGGATCAGGCAGTGTTTGGAGGACCTGCTGAGTTCCTCAACCTCTTCCCATCAAAGCAGGGATCCCTCCACTTCAGAGAGGAGGAAAATATTCCTCCAATTCTGAGGGACAACAGAGAGAGGGTGTGGCTCTCGCTCTTCCAGGACAATGTGTAATTACCCAGGGCACGGAGTCCAAAGTCACAGGGTTTATGGCCCAGGCCAGACACCTGAGCAGCTCAGCCTGGGAGAGCCTCCTGCACGGTCCAGGCACACCTGAGCAGCACAGCCTCCGGGGGGTGGGATCCTGCACCTTCTCAGGCACACCCCTCCTTCCCCAAAGGGAGACTCAATGTTGGGCTTTATGTTTTTCATTCTTTGCTGTTTTCCTAAACAGCTCACTTTTGACTTCTTAATTTACAGAAGAGGAATCATGGAGTAGGTAATCCTTTGAGATTTCTTTCTTTTCTTGTGTATCATGATTCTGGAATTTATCTATGCACAGAAATGCACTTCTTTTCCTTGAATGAACACACGAGGGATTTATTTCATCATTCTGTTGATGGATGCCTACACTGTTTCCAGAATTTTGCTGTGATGTGCAATTCTCTTTCACACAGTTACATACAAGGGCATTTCAAAAAGTTCATGAAAAAGGACATTTTGGTGAGAAAGTCTTTTAAATTAATGTTCAGTTGTTTCAGAATTAGTATGTTCCACAAGCTTTTTGAAAAGGTTTGCATTTTTTAAAAGTTGCTTGAAATAAGAGAGAGAGGGGGAGGGAGGGAGGGAGAGAGAAAGAGAGAGAAAGAGAAGAAAGATTTCAATTGCTGGCTCATTCCTCTGGTACTCAGAACAGTGGGGCCAAACAGAAGCCAGAAATTCAGTCTGGGTCTCCCATTTGGGCAGCAGGATTGCAGGTACTAGAATAATCATTTGCTGGTTACTAGGGTGCACACTGGCTGGCAGCTGACATTGGAAGTGATGCTTGGACTTGAACTCTAACGCTCTGATCTGGGAATGTGGGGAATCCCAAGTAGACATCGTAACTGCTATTCCAACATCCTACCTCAATGACCACATGAGAGAATATACTGATGCTGTGTACACAGCAGTAGGTGATGAACTTCAGGGTGGGTAACTTTAGTAGGTAATAGCAGAATATTATGTTTTTCTTTTTAAAAATAACTTATTTCTTCGAAAGGCAGATTTACAGAGAGGCAGAAACAGTAAGAGAGTTTCTATTTATTGGTTCACTCTCCAAATGTTTGCAATGGCCTGGGATGGGATGAAGCCAGGAGCCTGAAATTCCATTTGGGTCTCCCAGATGGGTGCAGGGGCCCAAACACTAGAGCCATCATTGCTTTCTCAAGCACACTAACAGGGTGCTGAGAACCAACACCCAAACACGATGCTTATGTCCCAGGCAGATATCTAACCCTGCACGCTACAACACTGATTCCAATGTCAGGACACTTTCTAAAGTGCTTTCCAATCTACATTCCTATCAGCAGTAATGAGGTCACTGTTGCTTGAAAGCTTTTCCAACACTAACACGGTCAAGCATTTACATTTTTTCCTATCTGGTATTAGAGCTTATTAGGCCACTGAGGTCTGATAGAATCCATTAGGTCACTGAGCTTCAACTTCTGGTTCTGGTGAAACCTCAGCACACATCATCTCAAAGTGAGCGGGATGCTTACTGCTCCAGGAATCCAGGCACCTGACATGCTCCCAACTCTGTAAATTCCACCAAGAACCTATGGTTTTTCTACCTTGGCAATGTTCATTTTGATGAAGTTCCTGTACATTTGCCTTGGCCATTTTTCATGGGATGCTGTCTTTTTTATTCGTGAGTTTGCCATATACTTTGAAAACTAAAGGTGCTAAACATGTTTCATTCTGTGATTTGTCTTTTTATTCTTTACAGCTTCTTTTAATTAATACATTTTGCATTGTAATGCAGTTGGGTTTATCTGGGTTTTCCTTTATTGTTAGTGCTTTTTTAAAGATATGTCTTATTCAAGAAATTGTGACTCCCGCTGTGACAGAGTAATACCCTCAAGCATGTCCACATGCTAATCCCGGAAACCTGAGGATATGTTCTGTTGCGCAGCATAGGACACTGAGGCTGCAAATGGAAATGGACTTAATGCTGCACATCAGCTAACCTTACACTGCAAATCAGCTAACCTTACACTGCAACAATCAAAGGGCACTTGAAAATGAAGGATATCAAAGGCTAGCCGACTATTCCAGAAAACTGTCTGTCCCAGAACATACTGAAACTGGAGGATTTTTCAGAGATGTAGCACTGCTGTCTCTCAAAGACAGTGGAGCAGGGCTAGGAAACAAGGAAAATGTGCTGTTTGTAGAAGCTAGAATGGCAGGAGATTGGCTTGTCCCCCTGGATCCTTCCTCCCAGATTCCCCTACAGAAACAGCAGCTACCCCACCTGTAAATGCAGGAACACATCCGCTCTGCTTCCTCGCTTTATCCCAGCGAGACCCAAGCTGAATTTATAATCTGCAGAAATGTCAGATAACAAACTTGTATCATTTGAGCCATTAAATTTGTGGTCATTTTTTACAGCAGTTACAGAAAACCAGCACATGGGGATTAACACTGTGATGCAATGGATGAAACTGCTGCCTGTGACACTAGCATCCATGTGGAGACCAGGTTGTCTCCCAGCTGCTCCTCAATGCAGCCAAAAGGAGCTTCAGGCTCCTGACTCTGACCTGGCTCAGCCCTGGCCATTGCACCCATTTGGGGAGTGACCCAGTAGATGGAAGATCTTGGTCTCTTCATCTCTTCCTCTGTAACTCTGCCTTTCAAGTAAATCAAATGGCTCTTAGAAGAGAATACATCCCTATTGGAAGGGCAGTTCTGATGAGAGCTGCCCCAGAAAAGGGGACTTCTGTTTTTTAAGAAAGAGGTCCTGGGGTGGAACAGGCAGATTTTTAAGAGGTCCTGGGATTGGGGGGGGTGGCAGTGCTGGTCTCAGTCTTGATTGCTGGGAGCTTAAGAATCTGTACACACGTACATTGGATGGATGGAGCGATGGGTAGATTGGTAAATAGGTAGGTAGATAATACGTTAGACAAACCGGTAGTTAGATAATTATATCAACAGTAGAGAATTTAGAGTGAACCTTAATTGTGCCTACAGTATAGGGTTTTTCTTTTTTAAGATTTATTTTTATTGGAAAGGCAGATTTTTACAAAGAGAAAGAAAGATCTTGTAACCACTGGTTTACTCCCTCAAGTGGCCACAATAATCAGAGCTCAGTTGATCCAAGAGCAGGAGTCAGGAGCTTCTTCCCCATCTCCCGTATGGGCATGGAGTCTCAAGGCTTTGGGCCACCCTCTACTGCTTTGCCGGGCCATAAGCAGGGAGCTGGATGGGAAGTGGAGCAGCTAGAACACAAAGTAGCATCCATACGGGATGCAGACACCAGAGGGTAAAGGATTGTCCAGTTGAGCCATCATACTGGCCCGTGCAGTATAACTTAAAATGGATACTAAGAAAAGGGATGACTTAGGGGTACCAGAACGGAACAGTGCACCAATAAGTAGTTCCTTCTTGACCTAACTGAACTAGTCCAGTTGAGCTGGGATCTAGACGTTGGGAGGTTTCGTGTTTGTTTTTTGACATTTCTACTATTAGAAATATTTTAAATTGATGCAAATGTGCAGTAGGAGCTGAAACTTTGCAAATGGGTGGAAAGTAGCTATAAAGTCCATTTGGACTCAACAGTAGATTTTTTTTTTCTTTTTTAAGAAAAGAAAAACAAATTAAAAGGATAGGCTTGACATGTTGGCAACTTCTGCCTGGCCTCTGGACCCACTTGCTGCAGTGCAGCCACACCCACCCCACTGATTCTGACATTGGAGGATGGGGAGGCTGCCTGAGCTGCAGCCCCACACCCTAGGAGGGCAGCAGCCCCGATCCACAGGAACTTTGCATCTCTCTATTGTGCATTAATGCACGTTATACGTAATCATTCCCCATAATCAACAGGAAACTTAAATTCTACTTCAAAGATAGCCAGGTTTTGTTTACGAAAACAAATGTGTTGGGCCCAGCACGGTGGTTCAAGTGGTTAAAGTCCTCGCCTTGCACGCCCGGGATCCTGTATGGGTGCCAGTTCTAATCCCGGCAGCCCCGCTTCCCTTCCAGCTCCCTGCCTGTGGCCCGGGAAAGCAGGGCTTTGGGACACTGCACCCGCGTGGGAGACCCGGAAGAGGCTCCTGGCTTCGGATCCGCATAGCATTGGCCGTTGTGTTCACTTGGGGAGTGAATTATCGGACAGAAGATCTTCCCCTCTGTCTCTCCTCTCTGTATATCCGCCTTTCCAATAAAAAAATAATAAAAATAAATCTTTAAAAAAAATAAAAAAGAAAACAAATGTGACTTTGGGTAAAATACTAAAATTAAGACAGATTATAAAATTGGATTTAGTCACAGATTTGATGACCAGCAGGGCTACCTGAGGCACCAGGCCATTAAAACAATATACAAAAGAGATCTTCAATGTGAGAAAACAAATCTCCAGGGAGAAAAATGAGAATAAATAATTGCTCATTTTTCTTATGTCAATGATCTAAACCTTCTAGCATAAGCTTGCCACGTTACAAAAATTACCCATAAGTTCCTTTAACCTCCTTTCATCTTTTTAAAGATCTGCTGAACAACTATAAAAATGTCTCAGCTTCTTAAACTGAGAATTGAAACATCTTTCTTCAGGTCATAAGCTTAAACAAGCCTGAAGCATTGAATGAAGCAGCAAATCTGCCAGTCCTTAGAGTTTTCCCTGGGACAGAAAGAACAAAGACAGCTTTGGGTTTTTCCTGGAGGGGACTCTGTTCTTTAAGGCACTGCCCTTGGGGAAGGGGAAAAAAAATACAACCAACCTCAAAGAACTGGCAAGGCAGGCCTCTTCATACCCCCACATCTTCACTGGAAGAGACCAGGGAAGAACTGGGCTCACAGTAGACCGACGATTGCCACACTAAATCTGCTGTAGCTTTGGAGGGCTCAGAAACCTTTCTAGAACATAACCAATTTAAAAACAAACAAACATATTTAACTGCTAGCTCTGTTCCTGGAAATGACTTTGGCTTTCATCGCTCAGGTAAAGTAGGCTGAAGGTCAAAACGGCCTTTCGCTTCAAGAGTTCTGAAATCTTGCCGGAAAGACCAGCTGAATTTTGCGTGGCTTTGTTTTGCCATTTCAGCAAACATCAATACTCCTTTTGTGCTTTCGTTTTCGAATGGGATATAAAAATATTCTGATGTTGGCTTTTGAAGAGCAAGGTCAGAGTACTTTTGAGGAAATAAGAGAAATCATGTGTATGGGGGAATGTGGGGCAGCAAACAAACCTCTAAAGAACTTTCATGTCTATAAGATAAATTTTTTAAAAAAGATACTTTTCTTAAGTGCTCTGTGTAAGTACAAAGGGATATCTATCTAATCTAGCTATCCCCCCATCGCTGTATTATCTAGTTTCTCGCTTACTTGCTCACTCATCAACTCTAGTGGTCTGTACATTTTCTGCCTTCAGAACTAATTTTTCCAAATCACTGTGCAGATAAAAGAGTCCCATTACTATTAGCCAGAGGATTTTTTCCCCCATACTTTCTCTATGGGGGACAGAAATGGAAAAGGTATATTTGCTGCCAAAAATATTTCAAAACATTGCTTAGCACTTAGTTTCTTAAAGAATAGCGAAGAATCTTATGGTAGCTGAGAAACTATGTCTAATTTAAAACAGACGAGCAGAATTCTCAATAGTGGCTCACGTCCTCTCTCTACGACATGACACCACCTCGATCAGCTCATTTAGTGAACTGCTTATTAACACCTTGCTTCTTTCTCATTTTGGTCTCAACCCAGTGTTTGTGTAACATAATATCAAGCAATTCAAGGATGGGAACATGAACCTTTCTGTGGGTATGCAAGAAGAAAGGTGAACACTCAACTTTCTTGTCAAGTTTTTCTAACCTGCAAAGGATGTATGACCAGTGACTTCTTCCTGAATGTATCACTGGAGAAAGGCTTTTGGAAAGATCTATGGTATCTTCTTGTTGGAGAGAGAATAAATGCAGACCCCTGTGTAGGGCTACTGCATGTCATGAAGAATTCTTGGGCCTGGTGTGGTAGCAGCTAAAGTGCTTGATTTGCACATGCCAGGATCCCATATGGGCATTGGTCCGTGTCCTGGCAGCCCTGCTTCCCATCAAGCTCCTCGTGTGTGGTCTGGGAAAGCAGCAGAGGTTGGCCCAAAGCATTGGGACCCTGCACCTGCATGGGAGACCTGAAGAAAATTCCTGGCTCCTGGCCTAGGATCCGCTCAACTCTGGCTGTTGGGGCCACTTGGGGAGTGAATCAGAGGATGGAAGATCTTCCTCTCTGTCTCTCTGCCTCCCTGTATATCTGACTTTCCAATAAAAATAAATCTTTTTTTTTTAAAGAAAGAAACAATTTCCTCCTCAGCCACACATTTCAACAAAACTGGCCTGCTCTACAGGCTCATTAATGACACCCAAGATACAGATGTTAGCAACAGACAGCTGTAAGCATGCTAGCTACAATATTTTAATAACTTGGTTACTTTTACAGGGGTAATTATTAGCTTGCTGTGATATAAACACAAACAAATGACCACAGGGTACTCACTTACAATACCCTCTCCCTCTTCATTTCCTTTCCACCTGTTTTCCAAACTCAGGCAGGTGGTTTTGATATATTAAAAAAAGGAATAAAGAAGAATGGAGGGCCCGGCGCGGTGGCGCAAGTGGTTAAAGGTCCTCGCCTCGCACGCCCGGGATCCCATATGGGCGCCGGTTCTAGTCCCGGCAGCCCCGCTTCCCTTCCAGCTCCCTGTCTGTGGCCTGGGAAAGCAGTCGAGGACGGCCCAAAGCTTTGGGAACCTGCACCCGCGTGGGAGACCCGGAAGAGGCTCCTGGCTTCGGATCGGCATAGTATCGGCCCGTTGCGCTCACTTGGGGAGTGAATCATCGGACGGAGGATCTTCCTCTCTGTCTCTCCTCTCTGTATATCCGCCTTTCCAATGAAAAAAATAATAAAAATAAATCTTTAAAAAAAAAAAAAAAAAAAAAAAAAAGAAGAATGGAAAGGCTTTTGGCTAGTGACTGTGTTGTCTGCATCCCATAATACATAACCTGGGTTCATTCTTGACTCCGACCCTGATCCAGCTTCCTGCTATGATTCACCCTCGGAGATGGAAGTGACAGCTGAAGTGACTCGGTTCCTGATACCCAATGGGAGACCTGGATTGAATTCCTGCATCCTGGCTTCCTCCTGCTCTGCCTCCAGCCACTGTGAACGTTTGGGGAGTGAACTGGTGAATCAGAGCAGAGATCGTTGCACTCCACGATTAAATCGCTCTCTCTGAATATAATGCATATAAAACTCCATATGGTTGAGCTTGATTTCCAATTCTTCACACATTAAAAACAGGATAAAAAGGGACCTAAGGAAAATGGCTGCTCAGAAATGTGTTAGATGTTGTGTTACACAAAGGAAGTTAGGATGGAATACCAAGAGTTAGCGTGGGAGAAGTGAATGACACAGTATACAGCTGCAGAGCACACACTTACCAATAATAACAGTGTTGTCATCAGCAATTAGCAACTTGCTGTGGACATAGATCAGTTCAGTGACCAGGTTTCCTTCCAGCTCAGCATGTGTTCTGAGGCCGCAGAATGATATGTAGTTTATCCACTGGTTACCAACTGTAAATATAAAAAAGATAAAAATACGGTCAAGCTAATAATAGCCCACTATATTTGTTATTTTTCAAAACAAACATAGTTAATCAGTATGTTTAGAGTATATTGTATCAATATGTACTTTGTATCAGAATTTTATCAGGATCCATTTTTGGTCATCGAGGAGTCTTATATTATTAATCTGGATGGTTATACATTTGAAAAATAATCTTGGTTTGTTTCCTGTCTTCATTAAGCCAATCCTAACATCTCTTTGAATGTTTACATTCCATGTCAGTGACTTGGAGGTTAAGGCTAAACCAGTGTAGTTAACTCAAGTTTGCAAAGTGATAATGCTTCTATCTTGGTGGACACTTGCCACAGTTTAAATCAGATTTAAGATGCATGCCAAAACCACCTACTGAATACAGTATAGAGCATATTCAACGCTAAGCAAAAGTTAAGTTCTACAGACACTGGATAAATAAATACGTTGGCAATTTCAAATTCTCCTCTGCTTTGGATCATTAAAATCAGTAGATGAAGGGCTAATTACTATATTTAACTCAGGGGAATTATTTTCAGAGTAACTACTAGATTTGTACTTTAACATGTTGCTCTCTCATCTCATCATGTGAAAAGGTGAAACATGTTTCGTAAGAAGCCAAGCCAGAATTGTTATCCTGGTGCCAGTGTGAGTCGCCAGAGTTTATGATCTCTCTCAAACATACTAGTTGTAGTGGATATGCTAAGAACAAACGGAGTGGAACCAAACCATCAGCAATTCTAACAGCCTTTTTTTCTTCTTAGAAACTGAAGCGTGCTACTAGAACAGCTTATGTTCCATTTCTTGAAGTTTCCATTTGTCACTGATATTTCCTATATTACTACTAATAGTCAATGTTTCTGTTAAGTTGAGGTGTCTTGAAAATGAATTCGTTTGTAGGTTATGCAGAAATTCCCCCATTTACAGATCATCCTTCGCTGTGTGTTTCAAGGATCCTGCATAGCTGTGTCTGACAGGGGCTGACCTGTGACTGTACTTGTGCAAGTTGTAACAAGTGTTCCTAAAAAAGGTTATGCAAATGAGACTTTTGTAAACCATTTTTCCTTTGCCATTTACTAATGTTACATCCAAAACATCTTCTTTTCTTTAAAGTCTTCTCTGATCCAAGAGAGAGCAGCACTTCCTGTTTTAAAGTCTCTCACATTCTTAAAACTCCTGGAAAATACCGTTAACATAGGATCTAATATTTCACAAATATTTCTTCAATTCTTATTTTTAATTTGCATAGGAATTGAGTCTTATACAATGTTTTATCCTCCATCTTAAGTAATGCTAAAAAATAAGTGAGTGAAAGAACATATATTCAGGTGATAGCTAATATTTTAGGTTTTGGCTTCTCTGTATCACTCACGTTCCTGCAGTTTCTTAAGAACTAAGATAAAAATTTTAAGATACAAAGCAGTTTCTAAAAGAGCAAAAATTTTTGCTAAATATTTTTGCAATATTTCTCCTTTTAAAAATCACATTGCACAACACAGTGTGCATACTGGCCACCTCTATGGGACTTGTTAAAAGCAGATGCCCCTGACCCAAATCCAGAAACTCGATTCAGAAGAAATGAAATCAATAAATGTCCTAGGGCATGTTGTCCTTGATGACATTGACAAGGAGCTTTAGTATTTATAAATTTATGATTAGTAACACATGTCCATAAAACCACGTATCATGACCCAGTGCGTTGCATTTTGGGGGTATCCAATAATATAATGCAAGAAATCTGTCTAGAGAGTAAAAAAATCACATGGTCATCTATATCAATAAATGCCAAGAGCTTTTCACCACACTTTGCATCTACCTCCATTTGAACAATAGTATGGGTATCTGCCAAAGGTCCATGTGCTAAGAGCCCAATCCCGAGTGTTAAGTAAGTGAATTAAGGATGGTATTTATGGTTCTGAGGGTGAGGCTTTGGAAAGCGATCAGATCAACTGGATTGCGTCAGGATGCTGGGTGGCGCTTTGTAAGCAGAGGGTGATCACACAAAGGACAAAGTGTTCCCTCATCTCTCTCCCTCCTAGACGGCCATTTCTTCTTTAGTCTGCATAAGCTCTGCCCTGGACAGCTGCCGCCCTCATCAGACTGCAGGCTAATGGAGCCACCTGCTCTCGGGCTGAGAATCTCTACACCATGAGCAGAAACAAATCTTCTACCCTTTGTAGCTTTTCTTGGGTATTTTAGGTAATGCAACGGAAATCTTACTAACATAGATATCTATTCCTAATTAAAAACAATAAAGGGAATGGGAAATGATAAATACTTTCTTAATATATTTAAAAATACATAATATATGTTATACATGCATAAGAGCATGCTCAACATTTTTGTTTTGTGAATTTAAAACTACAAGGAAAAAGAAGTTTGTTTAAAATACTACCAAGAAAGAGGGATGAAAACTCTAAAAATGGAATACAAACATTTAAATTTGACTTTTAACCTTGCATTAACTTTTGATTACAGACATTTCAGTATATCTACTTAGCTAAAGACAAAAGCAAAATTGAACTCTAGTGTGTAGATGTACTTTTCATAGTGGTACAGGTTAGCAGTTCTGGAAAAAACTTTTGTGTATTCTAAGGTTGAGAAAATATGTCAGTAGGCTATTAACATTGACAGCCAGGCATCTCACTGTGAGTGAAAGGATTTATAAAGCAGAAAGAAAAAATGCCTAGGAGGACTCCCGTGATGTGATACTGGGATGGGAGGCAACAGAATAAGATTGGTAGGAAAGTGGGCAGATTAGATAGATATATAAGCAGACAGATAAGAGATAGACACATAGGTTTGTGCCTGTATACAAAAAACCTAAAGCAAAAACATTTCATTAGCAATGGTCTTATCTAGCACCTAAATGTTGACCTGTATTATTTCTCATTAGAAGAACTTAGGCTCCTTGGAGCAAGACTGCTTCCAGGCCTCATGCTAAGGATGAATGAGCCTGGAACATCTTGCCACATCGAAGAGGAGAGAAGGCTGAGGGGACATGTCAGAAGGACATGACACTAGCTTCAAGAAGCCAAACCCAAGGCAACAAAACATCAACATCATAATCCCCTGAAGAAAGCAAGAGTCAGTAAGCCCACTTTATTAGAAATCAGTGCATAAATAAGTAAATGGGAAAGAAGGGGGAAATCCCCTATCAACAGAAGCCAACTAATCAATTTAAAGTAAACTAACAGGAGTTAGTGTTCCGTCAATTGCATCTCCGATATCCCATACTGGAGCAGCTACCCACTTCTTGTCCAGCTCTGCTCCTGTACCTGGCAAATATGTGCAAGTGCTTGGCCCCTGTCACCAGTTTGGGCCACCTGAATGGAGTTCTAGGTTCCTGACTTGGGCCTGCCCGACCCTCCTCAGGGCTTATGGGCATTGGGGATTGAAGCAGTAGATGGAAGCTCACTCTGTAACTCTGCCTTCCAAATCAATCAACACATCCTTTTAATAAACAAAGTGATAGATGTAGGAGAAATCATGGAAAGTCAGCATTTGGCAACTATCACAAAAATAACAGATCCAGGGCATAATGATTAATGTACCAAAGTCAGCAGATGGAAATCAGATGAGAAACAGGACATCTATTCACTCGAGATGGTTTCCTACAAAATATTTATTCATCATAAAGGGGAGAATACTAACTTCACAGTGGGGAACGCTCACAGACTTCTCCTTCAGTGATCTGATGCAAGTTAATGCAACCACTAATAAGACAAATCAGGGTCTGGCTCCTCCCAAGCTAAGGATGCAGCACACTTCTGTGATGTTCTGGTGTCAAAGGCGTTACCTACGTCTAAACAGGAGGACACGACACACGTAACCAAATTGAGGGACATTCTATGGAATAACTAGTCTGTACTATTCAGAAAGTAAAGGTCAAGAATGCTCCACGATAAATGTAGAATCACTTCAGATTAAAGAAAGTAAGATATACGAGAACTAAACATCACATGGACTGGGAAGTGAATCTAGACCAGAAAAAAAAACCTGTCTTTTGCTACAAAACTTTATTAAGACAGATGGCAAAAATCTCACCAAGGCCTGTAATCCAGATAATAGTATTATATCAATATTAATTTCATTTATTTTGAAAAAGAGGCTGTCCTGTTTTTTTAAGCAATGCACACCTACAGTAGCCCTAGAAACTTCTCTGAAATTATTCATAATTTAGCATATTGTTTTAAGATTAGTGATGCTGACTTGTGATCAGCAACATGAAGGTTTCATTTATAACCTACAGAAGCACAGCTATGTGCTCTTCCATGACAGGCATTCAGAGTATCAACAAAATATCCACTAGCCAGGGAGCATCCAGGCCCACTGCCCAGACCCACTTCCTGCTCATAAGTGCCAATGAACAAGCCTTCATGATATGCTAAAACTTTCATTTCTCTGTGGAAAACAGCCTTGAAAAGAAAGCCAAAAGGACCTCTTCTAGGGTGTAAGAGGAAGAAAATCATTCTCTGTCAGAACATTGAAATCTGGAATGGATGGAAGACTGGCCTGTCAAAGGCCGAGGGAGTGTCCTGCTCCGAGGAGAAGGAATCCAGCACACAGTGCTGGTGGGAAGAGGAAAGCGGGAATACATTTGTAGTAGTCCCTTCTTCTGTGAACAGAAAAGAAAAAAAACACCTAACATACACTAGCAAAACAGGTGCCTTTTCAGGAAAATATGGGAAAGCCAGGAATGTGTGTACAGAGTTAATGTGATGGACAAGTGTCAGGCAGATTTTAAGTTGTGTATCATGGCTGTATCTCAGGGATTGGAAGATAGAGGCCCCAGAACATATCTGCTATTACCATTGGTGTGTGTAATTCACAAAAGGAAGCATTTAGTCCAATACATTCAATATTATAATGAAAATTTGTGGAAGATATCAAGACTGTTTAAAGACTCTTGTTACTTAAAAATTTGAATCCCGCTATATGTACATATTAAATGTGTCTGGCCTAGATGGTAAACTAT